TTCCAGGACGAGTGCCATAATTTCATCAAGGTCCTGCTGCAGCAGAGCGACGACTCTCTGTTCGTCTGCGGAACCAACGCCTTTAACCCGTCCTGTCGGACCTACAAGGTGAGACTGCAGTGTTAGCGTGACCTCTGACCTCTGACCTCAGATACTCAAACGACAGACTGAGAGCGTCAGACAGCGATGGATAAGAGTGTGCGAGTGACTGAGAGTTCTGAATCACACATGACGGTGATACAATGTTGCTGTGGGGATGTCCTTCTCTTTTCTTTTTAAATCCAGGTTATTATTTAGAAGAGAACAAGAATAACAATGCTCTTTTTAATCGTTGATTTAGGTGGTTACAGGCTTGCTTAAAGCCTTAAAGCTTGAACCTCGGTAATCACTGCTTGTGGCTACATTATTACATTTTGTTTATATTTATTAAACAAGTAATATAAATTACCTATAAGTTTCTATATTTTTGCTTTTCCTTTATTAATAAATTTTTATTTTAACTTTTGCACACATTTTCACAAACTTTAAAACATGTTTTGAATTTCAGTTCATTTTAATTCTACTTTCTTAATTTTAAATAGCAGTTCAATTTTTTTAAACATTTTTGTCAGATGTGAATGAGAATGAATTTAGCTTTCAAGAGCATAATACATTATGCATTGCCTTAAAAAGCATTTCATGACATTAATTTTTTCCAACTTGTTTACGGCTGTTAAACCTGTTGAATAAAGCAGCTTTAATTCATGATGGAAGTGTTGATTTGAGTATTTTTGCTTTATATTGTTACATTGTAAAGTCACATTCGTTTCTATAGCGCTTTATACAATGCAGTTTGTTCTGAAAATAACAGAATCAGTGTTGCAAACTATATCATGAAGCCGCTCGTAATTCATCTCTAGTCAGTTCAGTGTTGGGGGTAATGCATTAATCAGATTACTTTTTTCAAGTAACTGGTCAAATTTACAATGAAATACCTGAGTTACTTTTTCAAATAAGTAACAGCAGTCACTTTGAATAAAGAAAACAAGCAAACCCAGCCCAGGTGACAAAAAGTAACACAAAAGTAACGTGTAATGTATTACTTTCTATAAAAAGTAACACAATTAGGAATGAGATAACGCAATATTGTAAAGCATTACTTTCAAAAGTAACGTACCTAGGATTGCGAAACGATTAGTTGTGATTAATCGATTCAAAATAAAAGTTTGTTTACATACTATATGTGTGAGTACTGTGTATATTTATTATATGTATATATAAATACACACACATATATGTATATATATTTTTTTAAACTTTGTATGTATTTGTATGTAAACACTTGTATATAATTTATATTATATATAAATATAAATATTTTACAAATAAATCTAACATATTTTCCCTTAATATATGCATGTATGTGTGTGTGTGTATATATATACGGTATATATAATAAATACACACAGTACACACACATATAGTATGTAAACATAAACTTTTATTTTGAATTGCTTAATCGTGACTAATGACTAATGCAGCCCTAAACTTACCCCAACACTAGGGTTATTTAAATCTCTTAAACGTGCAGGATCCCTGTGTCAGTGTGAGATTGGGACCGTGTGTTTTCTGACCAGTGATTGGTGAACCGTTTTAGAAATAGCCCACACTCTTCAGCTTTGAGATCACCAGTGTGTTTGTGAGGGAGCTCGAGAAAGGCTGGTTTTGCTGTGATGGATTGGCTCTGAACGCTGCTGTTTTCACATTGAGCGGCTGGTTTAGTCTCATTCAGTGTTTTTGCTCGATTTGACGCCATCATCTGCTGCTCTGCAGTCAGTGAATCACAGAACGACCGGAAGATCTTCTGCAGCCGTGGCTGTCTAATAACTGGCTCGGTCCAGCAGAGAGATGCTGAAGCGCGTTTGCCAAAAGCAGCACTAGCCACTCACAGATTTCCCTCGAGCGGCGTTGTGTCTGCTCTGCTGTCCACGGCTCTGAAAACAACGTCTGTTTGAGGGCCAAAGTCGTCCCACTTTAATCATCGGCGTACAAATGTTCCCCTGAACGGATGCTGTGATCCGCGGTCTCCTCCTGAGAAGCCCATCTGTGGCCCGGCTCCGAGTTGCTGGATTTACGGCTGGTGTCCATTACATCAGCTGTTGCCGGGCGGAACGAGCAGCCCGCAACTATCCCAAAGAGGATCGGAGCGCATGCTTTCCTTCTGACTGCTTTATGGCGGTCTGGTGCTGGTCCAGACTGGTTTATACTGGCTCTGAACTGGTCCAGACTGGTTTACTGGCTCTGAGCTTGTCCAGACTAGGGTTGGGTATCGTTTGTTGTTTTTTCGATACCGGTGCCAAATCGATACTTTTAAAACGGTTCCGGTGCCTAAACGGTGCCTGAACCGATACTTATTCTCCTCCTGAGAAGCCCATCTGTGGCCCGGCTCCGAGTTGCTGGATTTACGGCTGGTGTCCATTACATCAGCTGTTGCCGGGCGGAACGAGCAGCCCGCAACTATCCCAAAGAGGATCGGAGCGCATGCTTTCCTTCTGACTGC